TTCATCTCTCCAGCAGAACCGAAGGGAAGGCCATGTATACCCTTCTGTCCCTCACCCTTCACATGCCCAGAACCATCAGTGTCACACTTCCTAATTCCCATCACTGTATTTCATTAGTGCCATACTGTTTTACTAATCATGAATCTAAACAGATTGGTTCAAAAAGAGATCATTCTATTTTTGAAGTAATTAGTGATGTACCTGTGAGCTTTGCCTGGACGAACTAAGCACATGACCCTTTCTTGTACATCAGAACCTGCGCACACATGTAAAAAGAGGACCCGTTTTTTGACAGATGTGAAACCACCGTTTATTTGTAATAATTACACAATCTAAAAAAAAATAAATAAAGACCTGGCTCTCGCGTGTTCTGGGTCCCTCCCTGCCTGGCTGCTGGGGATGCGATCAGGTCCTCCGCAGCCAGGCAGGACGGCTTCCGCGTGTTCTGGGTCCCTTCGTGCCTCGTCGCTGGGGATGCGATCAGGTCCCCCGCAGCCAGGCAGGATAGCTTCCACGTGTCTGGGTCCCTCCCTGCCTCATCGCCAGGGACATGATTGGTCCCCCACGGCCAGGCAGGAGGCCTTCCACGTGTTCTGGGTCCCTCCCTGCCTCGTTGCCGGGGATGCGATTAGGTCCCCCGGGTGCAGCTGTGCTTGGGACCCCGCCCCTCACTTCCCGATCTCAGATCGGGACCACAGGCACCTCAGCACCCGGTGCCCTGGGTGCTGCCATGCCTGTGGCCCTGCCCCGCCCTTCGCATCTCAGATCAGATGGCCGCAGGCAGGCTACACCCTGGACCTGCACCCGGTGCCCAGGATGCTGCCATGCCTGCTGTCCCGCCCCTCTCTTGGTGATAGCAGATCAGGGCTCAGGCATGGCTGCACCCGGTCTTCCAGGTGCAGCCGTGCCTGCTGCCCCGCCCCACCCTTCAAGATTGCATATCCGGGGGCGCAGGCACGGTCTCTCCCTTCACCATCACAGATCAGGGGACCGCAGGCCAGCCGACACCCCTGGCCCTGGGGGTCCTGCACCCCGGCTCTCTCTTCCTCGGATCCCCACAGCGATCACCGGCAACCCAGGCCGGGGGTATTGCCTGGCCTGTGGAGGGCTTTCTGATGGCAATCACTGGCTGGGGGTGGGTGCAGCCATGCCTGCGCCCTGGATCTGCTATCACGAAAGGAGGGGCGGGGCCAGAGGCATGGCTGCACTGGACGGGTGCAGCCATGCCTGGGGCCCCCTGGTATGCCTGCCCCCCAGCTCTTGCCTGCCACTGTTCTTCTGTCTTTCCCCTTTTGCCTCCCATCATTGCGCCTATGTATGCAAATTAGCCGCCATCTTTGTTGGCAGTTAATTTGCATATTTCCCTGATTAGCCAATGGGAAGGGTATCGGATATATGCTAATGACCATGTTTCTCTTTTATTAGATAGGATAATATGTTGCCTGTCAGTACCTGGGATTGGACATGACTATGTATAGACTGATTTCATTATTTCAAGAATCTAAAAAGCTGAAACAACCACAATCCCCAATTCCTCCCAGAGTTCGTACATATAGGTGGACAGAGGATGCTAAGTGTTGGATTCATTTTGCAACTGGTTAGATGTCACATCCAGCCTCAGTGCTGGGGTAATTCAGGACTTAGCTTATGTGGCTCATAAATTTGCAACCTACAGCTCTTCAGGCCCCCAATTGGTCCTTTAGAACATTAAACTGCAGAGAGCATGTGGTAGCCCCATCAGCTTCTGATTAATAGAATTGGGTGACTGAACATCAGAAAAGCTCCAGGGGTTGAAGTCTCTGTATTGTACCTGGTCTCAGATGGAATTAGCCCTCTAGCTATGGCTGGCCATGAGCATCATTTTTAACTGGGCATGACATAGGGGCAAATAAATATGAACCCACCTGAGAATTTGAAAAGAAGCCGAGCAGGCCTCTTTGCATGAAGTCAGATTTTCTCCTGCACTCAAAAAGGCTAAGTTAAATCTCAAGGTCTTTATACAACTTTCTACCCTTCTCTTTTGCTTTTAATTTTTAAAAAAAATATATTTTTATTGATTTCAGAGAATAAGGGAGAGATAGAAAGATCAATCATGAGAATCATTGATTGGCTGCCTCCTGCACACCCCTACACTGGGGATTGAGCCAGCAACCCTTGGAATGTGCCCTGACCCTGAATTGAACCATGACCTCCTGATTCATAGGTCGAGGCTCAACCACTGAGCATACCAGCCTGGCCAAAATTTCTTCTTTTTTAAATAAAGAGAAGACAGTCTTGAATGATGCCTTGGCTTTTTAATTCCAGCAGTTTTTCAGAACTTTTAAACAAGTTTCAATAAATTCAGGAGTTTACCATTATATTGAATGCACAACCCAAAATTATCTTTTTTTAAAGGAATGTATATTTGCATTTTTCCCTTTAATTTGTGAAATGAATTAGAAAAAAAGTAAAATTTGAACTTAATGTATAACTTTTTGTTTGATCAGCTCATTTATGGGGCATGCCTTTTTTTTTTTTTTTTGTCAATTAGCAGTTATTAAACAAAATAACTAGCCCCTGTTTTAAAGGTTTTTCCGTGGGGGAAATGGCTAAATCCTGCTTTGTTTTCTGCTGCAGGCAGTGGCCACAACTGAGGAGGAGGAGGAGCCTGATGTGCAAAGCAGGTGTGAAAACCAGGCGGGCAGCAGCCTCAGAGATGAAGGTCTGCACCTGGGACCAGCGGACACAGGTGCGCACGTGAGGTTGAACCGCGCCGCCCCGTGGCCACAGGCTTCCAGCTCCGAGAACATGACCACAGCACAGAACGGCCACGGGCGAGTTGCTGCGATCCCCTGTTCAGTCTCGGACCCCACAGACACCGGCACGGTGACCTACCCAGCTTGTCAGAACGGAGGATGCGGCGGAGGCGGCGACGCAGAAGCCCAGGACTCCAGGCCGGGCCCCGCCAAGTTCGTGCGCCTCTTCTCCGTGAGCAGGAAGAGGACGGGCGCCCACCCCGAGCGGCCCCGCTCCGTGGTGCTGATGGGGCACTCTTCCACCTGGAACGCCCTGGCCTCCTTCCGGAAGATGGGATCCTTTAAAAAACTGAAGTCCTCCGTCTTTCAAGGAATTCAAAACCGAGAGGGCTCCGATGCAGCCAAGGAGGAGGCCTCGGAGCCTGATGTGGGCCCTGCCCTGCCCAACGGGGCGGCCGTGGCCAGCCCCGCGGGCGGGGCCCCCCAGCCTGGGCCCGTGTCCC